GAAGGCTAAGACATAGATTGGCTAGAGGTTGGGGGTTATTGTCCTGTTTAGAAATAGCAGTACCCTAATTAACTTTTTATTCTCTTAGCATGTGGGACTAACAGTATTTCTAAGTCATTTATGGTTATGTTGCACCATTAAAATGTAAAAGACTGTATTTATAGCATTGGCTTTATTTCAAGGCTGATTTTACAAATTGCAAAACTGCCAGTTTACTTTAATGTTGACATTTTAAAAAATGTTTCATCTTATTGCATATTGGAAAAAAATGTAAAGGTTTAATGTAGCTTCATTACATAATGTTAATACAGTTTTACTAGATGAAAACTGTTACTGCATGCACTGCATCTGTTGGATAATAAATAAATAGCTTTTAAGAGATGGAAAAATCAAATAATTTATTCTGAAAAAAGGAGTATCTAGATTATTCAAATTATCCCAAGATTCATATAGTTTGGTCACTTACAAAATCAAAAGTAAAGATGGCTTTCAGAAAGGTTACTTACTGTAAAAATTAGAAAGATAAATGCCAAATCTTCCTCCCCAGTGATCTTTGTCAATAGTAGAGCACTACATTCAAGAAATAGTGTGCTGACCTGGATTTGTTCTACCACAGGAATTTGTATTTCAATCTCAAGTTATACTTGCATGTTTTTCACGTATGTTTCGTATATGCGTGATTTCATGTATATTTCACGTATATTGTTTCATCCCTTAGAACTCTGAGAGGTAAAATATTAACTCTAAATTAATGAATTTCTTCATTGATTTAACACGTATTAGACACATAGTGGGAACATTACGGTTCTAGAGTGAAATCACGGTGCTTGTCACGAAGTCCTCAAACCCTGGTTGGGGGCAAACTCAGATGGCCGGGCTGATGATCAGATGAGGGGAGGGAGCCCAGTGTGACAGCAGGGAGTGGTGGAGACTGGTACACTAGAGAGTATAGTTCTTCCATTTAAAGGACCACTGATGCTCAGCTCTGGCTCACATGGCCTTGATGTGGGACTCATGGCTGCCAGATTGTCCAATTTTTCAAGAATATTCTTCATTTTTAATATTGAAAACTAATTTTAAAAAGTTAAGTATTATAAAAAAAATTAATAAGTGCTGGCCAGATGCAACCCCCCAAAAAACCAGGTAGTTATGCTGTGAGTTGAAGTCCAGCGTGTTATGGAAGCACAAAGAGGAGGTAGCAATGCTGGATTTAGGGAGATCCCAGAAGACCTTTGACAGGTTGGGGGCAGGCGTTGTAGAGGCAGTTGCGGAACTGCAGGTGGGAACAACAGACAGTGATCGCTGTGGTCTGCACAGCCAGGAAGAGATGAAACCTGCAGCTGCTCCTCCCCAGTGGTGCTCCCCTGCCCCTTTGCCTGGTGACACGCCAGCACAGGTGTTCATAATTTTGGATGACGATGCGCAAGGGTTGTGCAGTGTGGTGCTTATCGGATTTATCCCTTGTAGAGGGAGGCCAATTAGGACACATCTGTGTTAGTTACCACTCACTCAAATGAGCAGGCTGAGCACCTTATTGGAGAAGCAGCCACTTTGTGTGCAGCCGAACAGGATGTTTGCCACCTCTGCACTTTGGGTTCATGTCCTTTCTCTTTTGCTTGCCCAGGTCTCCTGATACTGTCAACCTGCTGGTTATTGTTGAATAGCAGGTAGTGAGGCAGAAATTCCATGCTTGTAGAATACCGTAAACCAGGCATTATTAGTCTTCTCCTTACTGCTTAGCTAGGACCAGGAAATGGATGGTAGACTATTATAGATGTTGTCTATTCTGGATGTTTTGGCAAACTATGAAAACCCAGACCCATGGCACATAATCTCAGTAATTTGTGTGGCTTGTGCTTGATAAGTCCTTCCCAGATAAACAGGACGGTGAACGTGTAAAAAGCATTTTTCTATCTTTGGGCCAGACCCTAAATGCCCAGAATTTAAAAACAATTTTAATAAATGACCTTTTTTACTGCTTTATTTTTATTTTAAATATTATTACTTAAACGCTTAAGCTATTTCATTAAATTTTCCAATTTTCCTTCTTTTTGCCAATGCCAAAGAATTTCATAAGGAATTTCATTTTATTCCAGGAAATTCAAGGTCACACTTACAACGCTCCACCACCAGCTAAATTGTTTATTTCTAAAATACTCCTTGGCCAGGCCAATAACATGTTAATAATAAACATATTAAAAGGTGCTTAGGAGCTCAGCACCCCCACCAAGCTGTGAACTCCTTCGAAGGGCACCTTTGTTGTGTCTTCCCCCAACCCAATCCTGTCTCCTTTCAGGTTCCTAATAACTGTTTAATCAAAGTTTATTGAATAAGTAGATAAATTATTAAGAGTATTATTTTTTTTAATGTGTCTATCAACAGTTTTGTTGATGAGTCCTGTTACCCAGAATGGCAGGAGTCACTGCATGCTGGCAGTTGGTAGCACACAACCCTAAATCAACGTGGCAGAACCTCTAGGAGCCATGTTTTGGGGTTACCGGGCATGAATTTGGTTCAGTTTCCACTTGTTCTAGTATGTGTGTCCTTTGACCTTCAGTTCCCTCCCATGAGGGTGTTAGACAGGGAAAAAGCTATAGTTCTTATAAAGCATGAACACAGTGCTTGGCATTAGAGATCCTTGGTTGAAACTTCGAATGGATTCTCAGTCTTCAAATGCTGTCTGCAGGCCCGTGGGTCTAGAGGTCTAGAACGTTGCCTGCCACTTGACTATGGCCATCTAAGTGTCTCACGTTTGTCTGACAGGTTACAGTCTTCAAGGACCGTCACATCCATTGGGTCATTTGATCCTCAATAATGATGTCATTGGCATGAAGTACAACAATAGTTGCTAAGTCTTGCATAGCACTTACCATGTGCCAGAAACAGCTTATATCAGTTAACTCTCCTGGAAATGCTGTACAGCTGCTAACCTCACTGAATCCTCAGGGCAATTTCAGGAGATAGGTACCGTCATTCTGCCCAATTTAGAGACGAGGAAACTAAGACTCAGGGTTAAGTAACTTATTCGAGTTCACACAGGGAATAGGTGGTGTTCTCAAGAACGGCCGCCGGCAATAATGACATCAGCAGCTGTCTAGGCACCCGCTAAGCACTTTGAAGGTATTATCTCAGTTACACCTCACAGCGCCCTTGTGGAATCTATTTTTATCTCCTTATAAATGTGTATCCCCGAAGTGACATCTCTGAGAAATGCTTCATTATTTCCCGCCTTTCCCAGTAGTTAGTGTAGTTTCCCCGGAGAGCATTCTGTCCTAATTGCTCAGTTATGGTACGCACATGACTTGTCAATCTCTTTTTCTCTCATCTTGTGTAAATGCTTTGGTATTATACCCTTTTTTTTCCATATTAGTTTTAATGCTATATAAACTATACATATTTTACTTTTAAAACTCAATATATTTTTAAAAATTTAAGACCATGGCAAGAGAGAGATAACCTGAAGCATGCATTTCAGAGAAAGTGATTTTTATCTCCTGCCCCTGACCTTGTGTCTACACAAGCAGTAAGTTGCATGGTTGGGTAATTGCTGGGTGATTTTGAGATATGCCAGTGGGAAAAGAAGCTATGATCAAGAAACTGGAAAAGGGAAAAAAAAAAGCTGTTTGAATTCACTTAAAATGGGTCATTCATTCAACAAAGGTAAAATGATCGTTCACTGCCCTGCCAATTTGACCTGCCAAGGCAGCTGCAAGGGTTGCAATGGGTCCTCTGGGTTTGGGCACCTCCAGGGCTGTCTGTAGGCTCACCCTGATTGGCTGCTCTGCGGGCAGCTGACAGCAGGTCTGCCCAGCTCTGTCCCCTTTGCTGTTGCTGTTTTTGTTGAGCTATTTGGCCCACGGTTCTACTTTTCTGCTCTGGTTTCTTTCTAAGTCATCAGATGGTCCGCTCGGGGGCTCTGTTAGTTTTGGAAGAGTCAACATGAAAGGAAACCGAACTATTTGTTTCTCTACCTGATGGAGCAACCAGATGAAGCTTCGCTTTTTAAAACAAAAACAAAAACCTCTTCTCTGGACATGTGTGGATCTGTAAAAAAACAATCAGATTTGTTCCTACATTTTTAGATCATTTAAGAGTCTGGGTTTATCTTTTATTGAAGTGTTGGGTCAGTGCCCCCAATTTCATCGCTTGTAAATGACTTTTAGATGTTTTAAAATGAATGCTTATTTTGCTGCCAAAACATAATTTGTACTCGTTTGGGGAAGAATGCACAAATGCCAAAATGTTAGCGGTTTCTTTGTGGAGATGAAACTCCCAAGATCCAAGCATGATGTCTTCATTAAACAGAGCACATTGTCATGTGGGCAGGGCAGACACAGTAGAGGTAAGGACAGGGACACTGGAGCCACCCCACCTGGGTTTGCATGCCACTCTGCCTCTTACTCGCAGTGTGACCTTGGGCAGGTTACTTACCCCCCCCCAGCCTCAGTTTCTCCTGTTGCCACAATGGGGATAACAATAGACTCCACCTTCTAGAGTAGTTGTGTGAGGATTAAATGACTTAGCATGCTAAAAATAGTACCTGCACATAGTGCTTAGCAAGGGTTGTTATTTTATCACTATCATTATCCTGTTGGCACTGTCTAAACCTACATGAATGGAAGGTTTATATAGTCACTGTCTGAACATAATTCTCTTCTGGGTGAAGTAGATTGGCCACTGCAGAGACTTGGGTAGAAAACCAAGAAAAGCAGGCATAGCCTAGGAATTCAGAGCCAATAGGAGTTTTGCATATAATGTGTATGTAGACAAAGCTTCAAGTCTTATAACCTAAATTTTTTTTTAATTTTTTTTATAACCTAAATTTTAACAGAATTACATATTATTTAGCTAATATATCTTTTTAAAAGTTGACTTCTTTTAAAACATAAGTAATATTTATTACCTAGTATATATAGTAAGTGGTAAATATTATATAGTAAATACAGAGCATAGTCACAAATGCTTTTAATGTTAACTGTATCTTCTTATCTTTGATTTAGACTCTTCAAGAGTAAATACATTGGATAAGAACGATGGCTGTAAAAGTACTACTAGAACAAGAGAAAACTTTTTTTACTCTTGTAGTTTTACTGGGCTATCTGGTAAGTAAACTCTTCATTTCTTTCCTAACAATGTGGTGAAAGAATTGATATAGTATTACCGAAACTATTTTCTATTTCTCTATTTCTATCTCATACTATTTTTTCTCTTTCAGATTGCATTTTTTAGCTTTTTGCATTTAATAACTGAAAGATTTCTGCTCAGTCATGTTGTTTGTAACAATTGTTGAGATGATTTTATTTAAATTTAGGTGAAGTCATAAAATTGCAGTGTTACTTGTAGTAGCACTATGACGATGATTTATTTTGGATTTATAGGCATAAATCTCTCATAAAATATTCTAGACCCTAACAACACTATAAATTCTAATTTGGAGCTCATGACTTACGCAGTTTATGAAGAATTTAGAATAGATTTTTAAAGAGCTGTTATTTTTATATTGTTATTTATAATCCTTTTTGGTTCCAAAGACATTAAAAACAGATGGATAATTTTAATGTTTGAAAGTTTGACAAAAGATCTATGAAGATATACAGAAGAATTGAAATTTATTTAATCTAGAGATATAATAATGATCCACAAATATATAAAGATATATTTACACTGAAGACGCTACCCAAAGTCTTCTTGGAAGACAAGGGCCAGATTGGAGCCTGGGATTCAGGTGGATGTGAGGAATTCTAACATTCTGTCAATTAAGGTTGATAAACATTGAATAAATGGTCCAGGAGGGAGATTATGGGATTTCTTTCTCAAAGCGATTACAGCCTCTTTGTGGTGGAAGGGAATGTCCTACCCTTTCTAAATAAACTCCTCCAAGATTGGTAGTCAAGGTGTTAAGAGAAGTGGGAGGAGATTATTAGATCCTTGCCCCAAAGAATCTTTTAGTCCCAAGCCACACCTTGTATTCTTCCTCCTGCTTGCCCTAGAGGTTAAGGCTTTGACTTTATTGAAAGAAGTTGGCAGATACCTTTACCGATACTCCTGCTTCAAGGTGGAGGTGGTTCGTATGGAATTATAAGCATCAAAAACACCTTCCTGTGCCCCTCTGTGTGATAGGCATTAGACTAACAGCAGGGGCTGTTCCCGAAGTGCTTCCTGAGATTTTCAGCTTTTAGGAGAACAAAATTGTAGTCTGTGATGCTATTCATGGCGTTCCCACTTAGGATAAGAAGTTGGATCGAACGTCTTCACCAATTCTGAGATGCTGCTAATGCCAACGTTTTTAATGAAATACTATCTGTTACGAAGCAGATAAACACACTTCTGTAGGATGATAGTACACAAAAGGAACTTGTTGTTTTTAGATAAAATAAGAGAGAAAAGCTATATTTTGGAAAATGACTTATAACCTTTGTTTTTGCCAATGTATATGTTTCCATTTAAGTCCTATGCTATGAACCAAAGTGTATTGTTGGGTGCCAGTCAATGGCTAAAGAATAATAGGTAAGGATATAAGTTCAGATTTAAATAGTACCTTTACTTGGAAGAGTTCCGAGAGTTTGGTTACTATTGTCATCTTCATCATCATCATCATCATCAAGAATTTTACTGATCTTGTGATTGTCAGATAGTATTTTTTAAAGACAATTTCTAAGTAAATGTAGTTCAACTGAAAATGGTCGAAACTTATCTATCAAAACTTCAGGGTAGGTAAGTCTAAAGAATAATTGCAAACTCCTTGTGACTATACTAATCTATTCCATTCATTTATTTATTCAATTCTTTATACTTGAATATGTTTAAAGTTTTTAATTCACTTTCTGATCGCAAAAGGACCTTGAGGCATACATAGAAGGAAGTCATAACTGTTCTTTTACACATCCTCTTACTTAGAAAAGAAAACAGCTCCTAAGTCATTTATTACTTGGGTTTCTCAGAAGAGAAGATAGCAGTTAATTCCAAGGAAAAGGGACACCCCATTCAGGAAATGAATGAATATTCTCTGGAATACAAAGAAGAAATTAGGCTTATTGATTAATTTGTTCTACTGAATCAGAATGTGGTTTTTTTTTTTCTTCCTAAAGTGAAAATTAAATTGACCTCATTCTGAACTAATGTTTACCTCCAGTGATCATGTGACTAATAATGAAGATGCTGTTTGTTTCTTACAAAAATGTATAATTAACATACTTTAAGATAACATTTTGTGAAATATTTTTTTTTTCAGTCATGTGAAGTAATTTGTGAAACAGGAGACTGTAGACAACAAGAATTCAGGGATCGGTCTGGAAATTGTGTTCTCTGCAACCAATGTGGGCCAGGCATGGAGTTGTCTAAGGTACATATTAGATACATGGAAAAGTTACATATCTGTGTTTATAAAATACATTCTTCTTAACTAAATTCTTTTAGTTAATTATTAATGAAGCTTTGGATACCATGATAGAATTTTTGGTTTGTTATATCACTTTAGCCAGATATTATACAATTCCTTTTTCAATACTTTTAATTCATATGTCTTACTGAAATAAATAGGTTCTAAAACCCAGGATTCAAGAATTGTCATTGTTTTATATAATTTGGTGTTTATAGTATTTCATTGAAAGAATAGAATTTCTAAGGTTTATTTGCATTCATTAAAAAGAATCAAAATTCTACTGAAGATTTAAAAATAAAGCCTTGATAACAGAAAATGGTAATGCTAACATTTACTGGGCCTTCTTTTTATTAAAATGAATGTTATCGTTGCCAGTCAAGAAGTAGAGCTCACAAGTGTCTTAAGTAATGATGTTCTAAGATAGCAGTTCTTTTCCAAACCAGGATTTTGGACAATCCTTTGACAATACAAGTATTAATACTAGTCTCACCACAGTGACTCTATGTAATTTCCAAGAACACTTTAAATATATTAATTTTAACTACTATTTGTTAAAAAAAACCCTGTGTGTCATAGCAGAGCATATTTCACAATCTTAGATGTTCTTGGGATCTTTCTTTTTTTGTGAGTGTTCAGAGTTATACATCCGTTTGCTTTATTTTCTGATCTTTTGAAGATGTTACTAGTTGTGGTGGAGAATTGCGGTATTGTTGTGTTCTAAATAAAGCATCAAAGCTTTCCTGTTAGAAATTGAACAATAGATTTTTCTTTTAATTTAAAGGGACTTAAAAGGAAAGTCCTTTTTCCCTACAGACTGCCATTGTTTAAAGCTGAGTCTTGTCATTCATAGATTTCTGATCAATGACCTACAAACAGCAGGAAACAGAGAACGATGCATTCCACAAGTAGGTCCTGGTGGATGGCTTTTCTTTTTGGTTGTTGTGTTAAATAATTGGTGGTTTTCAGTATCCTGGGCTTTATACTTGGATTGAAACTGACTGGCCTTCCAACTGTAGCATCTCAACAGGTATTTTTGGATCCCTGTTGATTATATTAATGTGCATTTTCAGACGTAGGTTTTGCTATGTTGGGTGTAAAAAGATTCATTTCTAGCAGATTGACATATCTAAAATCAATGAACAAAGTAGTTAGAAATGCCATCATGCCAGAGAGGAAAGTAGATGATGAAGCTTCTATTCCTCAAAAGTTCTTCTTTTCCCAAATCTTTGTGATAATCTGAATGAAACTTGACAGATTCTACAAGATTAGTAAATCATTTCTAAGAAATTTATCTCTTCCCTTCAGTTTTTTAAATGTAGAGACAATCTCCTTAAAATATTTTCTGGAGAATCAGACCAGAAGATGAAGGTCCTATTAGCCTTAATGTTTTTTGTCTTAAAAGAATCATTTTCCAGTTTCTGATTCCACACGTGAGGAGCTCGGAAGTTGCCACTATGTCCTAACAACAAATAAAAAGCTGAACAAACTGAAAAATCAGCAGCTCTTCTCAGCCCTGTAAGAGAAATGAAGTCACAGGGAAAACTGCCTTCCCCCAAATGGGAGAGACAGACAAGCAGACACAGAGAAGCACGATATGTGGCTGCAGAAACCTCCTCAGGAGCCAGCACTGGGGTAGGAAAACCTGAGCTGTGATTGACAGATTGCTGGAGCCAAGGTATGGAAGAGTGAGAGTTAGAAACTCCAGGGGGACCCGTCACAGAGCAAGCCCCATGCTTTTGTGAGTTTTACCTCCAGGAACTCTACCCGATTCTCAGTAAACAACAGAGAAAAATCCCCTCATCTCCCATCATGGGGAGGGGGAAAAGGAACAGTTTGAAATAGGTTAGCACACTCTGTTTTTCTTAACAATGACTGCCATCAGGAGAAACCAGTAAGCCAGAGCCTGACCTGCTGGGGCTTTATCAGAGCATAAGTGCCTTGGGGAAAGGGAAATACCCAACTCCAGCCTGCTATGGCCATCCTGTCCTATCCAAGATTGAAAAAAACCGAGAAGCACTTGTGAAGTTCACAGTCCAAAGGCACAGACTCACAAAAAGGCCTAATCACAGGATTGTAGAACACTTCCCCTCTCCCCACCTTCCCTCCACATTACTAATGGCCTATTTACAGCAGTTCTGGAACATCATGTATGGCTTTTAACAAAGATGTACAAGGCATACCACTGAGAGACACAAAATACAGTTTGAAGAGACAAAGCAAGCATCAGAACCAGGTGTGGCAAGAGTATTGGAATTATCATACAGGGATTAAAAACACTATGATTAATATGCCAAGGATCCAATTGACAGCAATGTATAAAGTTGAAAGCATGTAAGAGTAGATGGTCAGTGTAAGCAGAGAGATATTAATCCTAGAGAAGAACCAAAAAGGAATGCTAGACATCAAAAAACACAATAGCAGAAATGAAGAATGCTTTTGATGGATTCATTAGTAGACTGGACACAGCTGAGAAAAGAATCTCTGAACTTGAGGATATATCAATAGAATCCTCCAAAACAGAAAATCAAAGAGAACAATGACTGAAAAACAAATATCAGAAGAAAATATGCAAGAATTGTGGGATAACTACAAAAGACATAAATATGCATAATGGGAATACCAGAAGGAGGAGAAAGAGAGAAAGGAACCAAAGAAATATTTGAAACAATAATGAGTTAGAATTTCCCCAAATAAAATCACAACACACCAAAACCACAGATCCAGGAAGTTCAAAGAACACCAAGCAAGATACATACCAAAAAACTCCCTACACCTAGGCATTTATTTCCAAACTGTGGAAAAATAAAGATAAAGAAAAAATCCTGAAAAAAGCCAAAGGCAAAAAACACCTTCCCTATGGGGGAACAGAGATAAGAATGACATCTGACTTCTCCTCAGAAACCATGCAAACAAGAAGAGAATGGAGTGAAATATTTAAAATATTGAGAAAAAAACTACCAACCTAAAATTCTGTACCCTGAGAAATTATGCTTAAACAGTTAAGGATAAAGACTTTCTCACACAAAAACTAAGGAAATTTGTTGCCAGTTGACCCACCTTTCAAAAAATATTAGAAGAAATCCTTTAGATAGAAGGAAAATAATGTAGGTCAGAAATGTCAATCTACATAAAGAAAGGAAGAGCATCAAAGAAGGAATAAGTAAAGATAAAATAAATATGTTGATTTTCTTTTTCTTAATTTATCTAACACGTAATTTTTTCAAAATAATAGCAACTTTGTATTTGATTAAGTATGCTTATATATCTATCATATATATGCTTATAAATAAGTGAAATGAATGACAGCAATGATACAAGGGACAGGAGGGAGGAATTTGAATTATTTTGTTATTGCAAGGTAATCACACTATTTGTGAAGCATATTGTAATCTCTAGAGGAACCATTAAAAAAGGTGGAAACAGAAGTATAAATGATATACTAAGAAAGAAGAGAGAGTAGAATAATAAAACGTTCAATTGAAACCACAAAAGGAGTGGAAGGCAAAAATAGGGACAAAGAAGAAGAGCAATGAGTAGAAAATAATAATAAATATGGTAGATATTAACCCAGCCATATCAAATGAGAACTATCAGTGGTCTAAATGTACCAATTAAAAGACAGAGATTGTCAGAGTGGGTCAAAAAACAAGACCCAACTTACATTGTCTGCAAGAAACCTACTTTAAATATAAAGACACATATAGATTAAAAGTAAATGGATGGAGAAAGATATGCTAACACTGATCAGAAGAGCGGAAATAGCAATATTAATTTCAGACGGCAGACTTTGAAGTAAAAGAAGTTATCATGGGTAGAGAAAAGTATCACACAATAATAAAGAGGTCAACTCTCTAAGAAGACATAACAATCCTTAATGTGTATGCTCCTGGCAGCAGAGCATCAGACTATGTGAGGCAAGAACTGATAGTACTGCAAGGAGAAATGGATGAATCCATTGTTACAGTTGGAGACTTCAATACCCTCTGTCAGAAATGGACAGATCCATTAGGCAGAAAATCAGTAAGGACATAGTTGAACTCAACAACACCATCAATCAGCTGGATATAATTTGATACGTGTAGGCTACTTCATCCCACAACAGAAGAATACACATTATTTTCAAGCTCACATGGAAAATTCAAGCAAGACCATCTTTTGGGCCTTAAAACACACCTTATCAGATTTAAAGGCATAGAAATTATGCAACGTCTGCTCTCAGATCAAAATGGGATGAAACTAGAAACCAACAACAGAAAAATACTGGAAAACCTCCAAATACTTGGAGATCAAGCCACACACTTCTAATTAACACATAGGTAAGAAGATACCACAAAAGGAAGTTAAAAATATTTTGAACTAAGTGAAAATGAAAACAGAACTTATCAACATTTGTGGGATGCAGTGAAGCAGTACTCAGAGTGAGGTTTATAGCATTGAACGCATATATTAGAAAAGAAGAAAGAATCTAAAATCATTAACCTAAGTTTATACCTTAGGAAACTAGAAAAAGAAGACCAGATTAATCCAAAGTAAGTAGAAGAAAAGATATGATAAAACTTAGAGTAGAAATCAATGAAATTGAAACCATAAAATCAATAGAGAAAATCAACAAAACCCAAAGCTGGTTCTTTGGAAAAGTAAGTAAAACTGATAATCCTCTAACCAGGCTAACTGAGAAAACAAGGGAGAAGACACGGATTACTAATATCAGAAATGAATGAGGGGACATCACTACAGATTCTATGAACATTGAAAGGCTAATAAAGGAACACTGTGAACAACTCGATGCCCACAAATTTCATAACCTAGATGAAATGGACTAATTCCTTGAAAGACACCATTTGCCAAAACTCACACAAGAAGAAATATACAATCTGTATAGGCCTATGTGTATTGAAGAAATTGAATCAATAATTAATAACCTTCCAAAACAGAGAGCAGCAGGCCAAGATGAGTTCACT